TTTCCCTACTTTATTTTTCTCCATGGCACTTATAACCATCTGAATTATATATATATATATATTTACTTGTTTGTTTATTATCTATATCTCCCATTGGAATATAAGCTCTATGAAGGCAGGAAACTTTGATTTTTTTCAGTCTTACATCCCCTATGCTTAGGACAGCACTTGGCACCTAATAGGTTGTCAATTAACAATGGTAATAATAATGGTTAACATGTATAGAGCATGGAACATGTATTACATGCCAGGCGCCATTCAAAATGCTTTACATGTGCTAATTCGCTTGATCCTCACAAAAAATCATGACGTAGGTACCATATCGATGGATGGATGCTGCAGTAGAAGTACTTACGGCTCTGGGGTATAGAGGGGATCTGAACTGTGTCTCACATACTGTGTGCAGTGAAAAACTCGAAAGGCTAAACCTGATAAAAAATCTCTTGGTGATAAGTAACCAGCCACAGGACGGATGGAAAAACCTGTGCGCTCTGCAAAGCAAAGGAGAAAATCTTCACTAGAATAGACAATCTTACTTTTCTTTTTTAAAAAAACTCACTAACAAGATCTATTAATTTAGATCAGAACCATTTTTGAAACTATGTCATTCTTAGCCAGTACCACCTCTTGTAGTTTCTTTATGTTATCTAAACTGGATGGTGCTCTTTCATTCCCCAATACCTGAGGTCTGCATGCCCACCGTAAAAGTCACCTTCCACTAGGCTGCAGTGGCTCTGGGGACCTCTATAAGCTCTGATCTTGTCCTTCATTTCAAACTCTCACACTCTGGTAATTCCAGTTCCACCCCAATGCTTTGTACTTGGATTCTCCCACTCCAATGGGCAAAATAATTTTTCACAAAGATGGAAATGTTCAACATCTAGCCTATTGCTAGCCACTAGCCACATGTGGCTATTGAGCACTTGAAATGTGGCTAATGTGGCTGGGGAACTAACATTTTGATTTACATTCATTTTATTTTTTTTATTTTATTTATTTATTTATTTTTGGCCACACCACGCAGCATGTGGGATCTCAGTTCCCCAACCAGGGATGGAACCCATGCCCCCTGCATTGGAAGGCAGAGTCTTAACACTGGACCACCGGGAAGTCCCTACATTCATTTTAATTATTTAAACAACCATGGTTGTCTAGTGGCCACCATATTTGCCAGGGCAGGTAGCCCCTTCCAACTCATGTTTTGTTTGAACTGTCTTTTAATATTGGTTTCTCTCTTTGACATGTTCCCTTGAAACACCTTTAGCGATCATTTACTCCAACCTTCCCGAAGGTGCCTGAATCTCCTCTACCACATCCCTCTAGTGGGTGTGGAACTTTTGCATGAACATCTCCATGGATGTGGAACTAACCATCTCATGAGCCTGTCCCATTTTCAAATGGCTCTTTTAACAGGATCTTGTCCGTTTCGAAATAAAAGTTTGCTGTTTCTATCCGACTGTCCTTTACTTCAGAGCCACATAGGAATCCCTCTATAACATAAGATGACCTTCAAATATTTAAATAAATCTATAAAGTCCCCTAAATTTCCAGGTTAAACACCCTGAGAATCCTTCAAATTTTATTTATATGATACATTTTCCAATCCTCTTACAATTCTGCTCACTTTCCTCTACATTTGCTCCAGGTTATGAATGTCCCTCTTCAAATGTGGTGCCTGGAGAACTGCCAGCACAGAATACAGAAAAATTCTGACCTCCCAAATAACCGGACTTTAGTCCTCTATTAAAAATTCTATTGTGACTGAAATGGAGTTCAATATTCCCCTTACAAAAAATTAATCATTTCATTACCTTTTAAAAAGTTTGAGACATCTTCCAATTGTGGGATATTATCTTCCCGGTATCCACAGTATTTAGAAAGCAAAGGTAAGTTTTTGAGATACTCTCTGCAGGCATGGGTTGGGTAAAGTTTGTTGAGCTCTCGGAACACAGTTCCCCAGGTCTTAATCTCCTCTTCAGTGAATTCAATGTTAGGAATGGGGTCTCCACTAATGAGATAAAGAGATCTTGAATTAGCATCCAATAAACAGTAGCACGTATCTTGTTTTCTATTTACTATATAGGCATAATTTACTCCATTTATTTCATTAGTTCAAAGTTGAATAAGTTTTGTGTTTTTTTTTTATGCGGGCCTCTCACTGTTGTGGCCTCTCCCGTTGCGGAGCACAGGCTCCGGACGCGCAGGCTCAGTGGCCATGGCTCACGGGCCCAGCCGCTCCGCGGCACGTGGGATCCTCCCGGACCGGGGCACAAACCCGTGTCCCCTGCATCGGCAGACGGACTCTCAACCACTGCGCCACCAGGGAAGCCCTAAATAAGTTATTTTTATAGTACACTTACTGTTTATAGTTCATAGCCAAGTCTGCAAAATACTTTCGTCTTTTACGATAGACATTGTCTTTGAAGCCCTGATAATTAAAGAAAAGTTTTTAAATATGCATACTAAAAAATACTTAACAAATGATTTAGAAAACATTTCATTCTTATTCAAGTGACTATACTGAAGGGCTATATAACTGTTATTTTGAGCAAGCACTGTTTAGAAATTTATGATCATTTTTCTTTTATTCAACATTATATGACAGATTCATACAATAGTGGCTGCAAAGATAAAAGATACTATAGATACAAAAATACTACAGTAGCTACAAAAATAAAATAGTTTGAGGAAAAAGAAAAGCACCACCCTAGTTAAAATACATGGCTCTTTTCCAAGGGTGAGTTTTTTCTTTATCATTTGACTACATCTTCAGTTATATTTTCCTGTAATTAGTAACAAAGTAGTAATTACCAATATTTGAAATCATGGCAACTGAATCTAGCTTCAGATTTTATTGCAAAATGCAGACACATTAATCATTTGTAGAAGCAATTAATGATAAAAAGATAGAAGAGATAGTAACACTAGAATTTATACCTATGAAAAATATTTAAGAAAAAAATAGACAAAATAAGGCATCAAAAAGCAAATCTTAGGAGGAAATAGCCAGTAATACAAAATAGGAAAGAAGGGGAGGACACTTGAAAGGAAAGAATGAGACTTGTGTGTTTAACACAGATTTACAAGTCCCTACTATGCACCTGGCCTTCTGCTGAAATTCAGAGAAACACAGCACAATCTGGGTCTTCAAGTTTACTTTAACCAATTATTTTGAAACAATATGGTAAGTGCCTTATTACAGACAGGCACAAAATACCACTTGAACTCAAAAAGAAACTCATAATCCAGAGTATGTGAAGAGGGTAGTGGGGGGTCAGGAAAGGGTCCCTATCAATGACTCCTAAGCTAAAAGAGGAGTGGAGAGAGCCAGGTGAAGGACAGAAAGCACAGCACCAAGGACAGCACAGAAATGAAAAACAGCATGTTGCGCCTAAGAAAGTACAGGTAATCCAATGTTGCTGGAGCCTGGAGAGTGAGGTGGAGCATGGTGAAGACTAGTTATGGGTCTGCTAGTAAAGGTCTGTTTGAGAGCTTGGATTTTACTCTTGGGGTAATTGGAAGCCATTGGGTTTTTTTTTTTTTTTTTTTAAATAACAGCTTTATCAAGATATAACTCACATACCTTAAAACTGACATTTTAAAGTGTACAATTTAGGGGGGTTTAGGATATTCACAGTGTTGTGCAACCACCTCCACCATAATTTCAGAACATTTTATCACCTGAAAAAAAACACCCTACTCATTTGCAGTCTATCCTCATTTTCCCTCACCCCCAGCCCTGGCAACCAGTAATCTACTTCCTGTTGCTATGAATTTGCCGGTTCTGGATATTTCATGTAAAAGGAATCACACAATGTATGGCCTTTTGTGACTGGCTTCTTTCACTATCACAGTGTTTTCAAGGTTCACCCCTGTTGTAGCATTTTGAGTAATTCATGCTTTTTTATGGCCATTAATATTCCATGTTGGGGACATACCATGCTTTACTTATCCATTCACCAGTGGATGGATATTTGGGTTGTTTCCACTTTTTTGCTACTATGAATAATGCTTCTATGAACATTTGTGTACAAGTTTTTGTGTGGGCTTATGTTTTCAATTTTCTGAGATCTGTACTGAGGTACCATTGGTGATTTTTAGGCACAAGAGGGATAACGGTCACACTGAGGCTTTAGATCGTTCTAGTGACTATGAGGACAGGTTTGAGGCGGCAAGGCTGGAGGCAGGAAGACCAGTTAAGGGATGTGGTAGTAAGAATAAACAAGGAACAAATTAAAGAAATATCTTGGAGGTGAAAATCAGCAGGACTTGGTAGTAGGTCAGTAAAACTGATTTACACACCTTTCCATAAACATGCCCCAGATTTTCTTGCCTCTGAACCTTTGCTCATTTTGCAATGGACTGTCCTTCCTCTCCATCTCTTTCCTGCCAAAATTCTTTAAGGCCAAGTTAACAAGGTTGCCTTTCTCTGACCTCTTCAGCTAGAAGTGTTTACTCTCTTGTGTATATCTCAAAGCAGCCTGTTCATGCCACTTAGCACACTTTTCATACTTAAATCTTGTATGTGTGTTTATATGTGTGTGTGTGTGTGCTTTACTTTGTCAACTTGACTGGAAGCTCCCAGAGGGCAGGTACAGCAAATTATTAATTCCAATACTTACTCAATAAGATATTATAGAATAAATGGATGGATTGGCTGGGGTTGTCTAAGGCAGTATACGGTCACATTCACACAGCTAATAAGTGATAGAAGCTAGATTAAATCCCTGGTCTGTGCAACTCTACTGCTGACTCTCTTCTCTCCTCCCCTCCTAGGATCCTAGAGCTCCATAAGAAGTCCTAATGCTCTAGACTTACTAATTCTCCAACTCATGCCTGTACTGTATCCCATATGATTTTCCAAGGAACCAGCTTCCTAATTCATCAACTGCATAACAAACAGGCAGTGTGGGTGATGATTTTCCCCTTCCTATCTTTACTCCCCTCTCCAATAGCCCATGCCCATTTTGATAGAAACCGACTGCAGATACGGTGTTCACTGTAGTGTAATTCTTGGAATAACTCTTAGTGATACGAATTCCAGGCATGACACAGATGTTTTGGAGCCAATGAAATTGGATGCTCTTCAGTCACTTGGTTTCAAGTCCACCAACATGAAGGACTAATAACACTTCCTGAAACCCAGATTAATCAATATCCTATTTAGTCTGGAATAAGCACTTTCTCCAGAAAAGAAAAATAATACCCTTAATTTTTTAGTTTGCTTTAAATTATTTTCATGAAAATGTTTATTTAAAATATTTACAGGATGGTCAGCATCCAGTTCGGATCCATACATCAGAACTCTGTTAGCACAATGGTCCAGGTCAGAAATCTTCTTTGGAAACCAAGGAACAGTTTCCATACCTGAAAAATACAAAAAACACTAACAGTTGAAGAGACCATCTTAAATTAGGCAATAAAGAAGAAGAAATTAAGAAAGTCATAAATGCATTTGGATGAGATTTTTAATTTTAGCTTGTACGTTGAGGCACAATGTATACAAGTAAATGGGTCTAGTTTTAATAAGTAAATCTTATTCAAAGTTTTTGAGTTTAAAAATATTTTAAGCCTTAATTTCCTAAGCATTGCAGAAATGATGCATTTTAGTAATAGACCAAAAGTTCAAAAAAATTTAAGCTACATATTTAGCTACCCTTAAAGAGTAAGGCTAATGTTTTTTTGGGGTTTTTTTTGCGGTACGCGGGCCTCTCACTGTTGCGGACTCTCCCGTTGCGGAGCACAGGCTCCGGACGCGCAGGCTCAGCGGCCATGGCTCACGGGCCCAGCCGCTCCGCGGCATGTGGGACCTTCCCAGACCGGGGCACGAACCCGTGTTCCCTGCATTGGCAGGCGGACTCTCAACCACTGCGCCACCAGGGAAGCCCCAAGGCTAATTTTTAATTAGCAAATTTAATTAAAACTCTGAATGTTCATTTTTGTTGATTAAAAGGATCTTAGAGATCATTTATGTCTTTGCCACTTTGATCTTCTCACTATCCCTCACACATACACGCTCTCCTAAAACTCTGAGTTTTGTGAATGCTGGTCTTCTCCCTGGAATACCTATCCCATCCCACATCCTGCTGCACCTCATCCTTCTGTTTTCTTGAGAATATCCTTCTCCTCCTTCAGGACCCAAATCAAATGAGCCTTCCCTGACCCTGTAGGTGGCGCTAATTCTCTATCATCTGGGTTCCCATGACTTTGACTCCAATTCTCTGAAAGCTTTTACTATGTTTTACTATAATGTATCTGCATATGGCTGTCTTACAGAAAAGAATGGGAACGACTCCAGGGTAGGACTATTTCTTTTTGTATCCCCATTTCTTAGTAGAAATATGAGATTCAAGTTGGTGTTTCCTAAAAATCAGCTTAACTATTTAGACTCTATAAAACTCTTCATTTGCCAGAGAGATGAAGTAACTTATCCAAGATCATTCATCTCTAATGGAACAGAGAGGACTAGGACTCAATTCTTCTTGCTCCAGTTTAATGCTCTAACATACCCAGAAGTGATATTCAAGAGATTCAGCAACAAAACAACAGGGGCACCAATCACTCAAAATAGACACAAGCAGAGTCCCAGGCTCCTGCTCTATCAGGTGTTAATCTTCTAGTTGTTTGTGGTGGCCACAGGACTCCTAGGAGAAAACTGGGGCCACATGGGCTTCAGGCATCGTGAGGAGCACTTAAGGGACTCAGGGGAAAAGCTATCTGCCAGCCAGACATGGACGTACAATCTTGATATTTTAATACCTTATACAGCCATATGAATACATAACAGATGAATATCAGCCCTGATTACACCCAAATATTGTGACATAACCTGAAAGGATTATTTTGAGTACCATATATAAAATGTGACTGATTTATCCATTTGTCTCTTGCCCCAAGTAAACTGCAAGGATTTTTTCACAGTAGAAGATTTTAGATTATCTCTGTGCTACCTGAGTATCTGAAAACATAGAAGCTTTCCATTTGGTTTTGGTGGAAGTGAGGACAAGGAAGAACATTGTATTTCATATATAGAGTATTTCACATCACAGTTGTCAGTAATTGTCAACATTCTCAACAAATTCAAATATTCACTTAATATCTGCTAGGTATCTGCCCTGTAAGAGTTACTAAGTGCTCAGGGATTGTGAATTGGAGGTTTGTGAAATCAAGAAATGCCTGATGGGGCTTCCCTGGTGGCGCAGTTGTTGAGAGTCCACCTGCCGATGCAGGGGACACGGGTTCGTGTCCCGGTCCGGGAAGATCCCACATGCTGCGGAGCGGCTGGGCCCGTGAGCCATGGCCACTGGGCCTGCGCATCTGGAGCCTGTGCTCCGCAACAGGAGAGGCCACAGCAGTGAGAGGCCCGTGTACTGAAAAAAAAAGAGAAATGCCTGATGATTTGGAAACTGAGATAACAATGGATTTCTAACTATTCTAAATTCTTTCTTGTATTCAAGTTTTCCTTTTCACTTCTCTCGCCCTTGATAAAATGTTGCTTTATAATTTTTCTTTAGCATTTTGAGCAATTACATTTTGTATCTTCTTCATTATCAGATTGTAAGCAATTTGAATAGACAGTGTTTTATTTTTACTTTCATGCCTTCAAGCTAAACATAAGATAGGACACACATTATGCACTTAATCTTCTGAGTAGTATTTTCACTTTTCAAACTTACCATCTTCCTTCACAGTAAAATTATCTGGTAGATTCACAGAGAGAACATTAGTATGAGACTTCAACAGATGAAAAATATCATTCAATTGTTCTCTATTGATATCACAGTCAACAAAAATCTCAAACTCTGAGTTTCTTCTCTTTGATTTTCGGGACTCAATATGTAATAGGTTCACATGCTTCTCCTGTGGAAAGCAGAGGATGAAGATTATACATGACTGCCTCAAACGGTTATAGTCTCTGTGCAGATTACTTCCATTACCACTAAAACTCAGTCTCATCACTTGTCATAATAGCCAAAGGGAAAAAAAGGCTGTTTTTAGTGCCATCAACAGCAAAATAATTCCCCCTAAATATTAGGTACTATTCAAAAAAAGTTTGAAAAATTCATCACACCCTCCAGAATCTAATTAAATTAACACCCAGTAGAAAGTCCCTCAGATTGCCAGAACTGATTGGCCTTCAAATCAAAAGACTTAGTCTCCTAGATAAAAAGAACCCTTTGAAAATTCTCACAAATAAAGGCTAGGTTTTTTTTTAAGTGATCTAGTGTTAGTCCTTTAAAAAGAAAAGTCTCCTTTGCAATAATGCATTTAATACAATTAGATGAACAGCTTGAACATGGAATATTTAATACCTCCAATATCTTAAGCTACAAACTCAGTAACCAGCTGAATCAGATTGCTGCTTCTGATCTCTTCGCGTGCCAGCCTGAGCTGTGGGGTGCCATATGTGTAAACCTGTGGGGGGAAGGTATCTTCTCTTACCAATCTGGGTGCTGAGGAAAAGCCCTGGTGACATAATCATGAAACATAAGAACCAGTCACCCAACAGTTTTCTTCATCTAAAAAACGAGAAAGTTAGAGTAGATGATCTCCAATACTAACCAGTTGAATCTAAATTAACTTAGTGAACACCTGTGTAGCCAAGTAATGGCTGTGAAGCATACAAAGAAGGGCAGGACGTACAAGGAGTTTACAATCTAGTTGACTAACACATGAAAGACTAAGAGAAAATACAAATAGTGAGTGTGCAGGCGCAGATGTTCAGAAACGGAAAAAAACATCAGGAGTTTGAGGAGGTAGAAGGTTTTATGGAGCAGATAGGAGCTGAGTCTTAAAAAATAGATAGAATAGGAAGACAGAAGGGAAGAAGTAAGATTCCAAACAGGAGGAACTTGTATGAGCAAAGGTAGGGATGAGATAATTATCAGGGAACATTAACTTGATAAATAAGAAAGGAGAGTGAATGTCAGGGATGTTGGGAAATTGGAATAGGCAGGGTTTACACTGGAACGTAGAATCTATCATGGAATCAATACAAGAGAGCCAGTTACAAAATATATTGGAATTGATCAGGAGTAAAGGAGAGTTCTATTGAATCTATTTCTTATGGATTTTTAGAATAAGAGTACATTCATAAATATTTTCCGAATGATGACTTGAATAAATATAAAGCTATAAATTACGTTTTTGGAGAAGAAGACACAAAATGTCAATTCTTCCTAAAGTAATCTAAAATTGAGTGCTATCACAATGAAAAACTTGATGGAATTTGGTGAGGAAATGTAACTAAATAACTTAAAAGTTATTTAGTTTCTTTTCTTCTTACCTGGAAGAAAAGTTTAGTCAAGAAGGTCTAGGAAAATTCAGGTAGAGTTAAAGTAATAAGTGAGACATTCCTTATCAGATATTTCAATTACAGCAACAGAGGCACAGAGAGGTTAAGCAGTTTGCCCAAATGCACACAGCTAATCAGTGTAAGAGCTGGAATTCAAACTCAAGCTGTCTAGCTCCATAGTCTATGCCCTTAAAAACTATGCTGTAATCCTGTTGTACAAGAAAAGAAGAGTCAGAATAACGGATAATATAGCTCTTCTTTGAACAAGATTTACATCATCTTTATAATGAAAACACTGAAGACTGATATAGCCAAAAATTGGGGCATAACTACATTGTGAAGATGGGGGGAAGGGAAGTTGAGGGGCCGCTGGAAAGGGAGCTGTGCCAAGGAAGCTAACCCTTCACTTCCGCTGGAGAAAATCAATAGGTAATATCTACAAACGGAAAAAACAAGGAATAGCAGCAGAATAAGCATATTGTTTATAAATATGGACGCTAATATGAGAAAATATAGTTAAAAGCGTTGAAGATGGTTGCCCCCTATAGGCAGAGGATAAGTAAAAATAGGTGGATTCACGCCCAAAACACCATTGCAGCAGTCAGAAGAACGAATGAGATGGATATGTAGCAGCACGGGTAGGTCTTCAAAACACAGTGCTGAGTAAAAGAAAAAGTGTATGTACAATAACATTTATATAAATTACCAGTCCATGCACATGCAAAAACTCAACATAGATTCTAAGTAACAAAAAACAATTCAGTGTGTAGATCAAACGTATCAGAGCAGTTGTCTATCAGAAGAGAGAAATGGAGATGGAATAAAACAGGAGGAGGCTGTATACATCAGTGATGACAGTGTCCACGTGATTTAAGGAGTATGATTAGCTCAACCCTCTGTACCTAGGTCAACATAAAAATTAAATGGAATTTAGGAATGAAGAGAGATGAAGCAGAAGACTGCTATTTTCTTTATAAGCTTTATAGTGTGGGGTTGACTTTTTAAACCACGCACAAGTATTATTTGATTAAAGACAAAATAAAAAAGAAAGTTGATGGAAGAAATGTAGGTATACTATTTAAAGACTCCAAGGTAATCAGAAGAAGAGCTTGCAGTAATCACGTAATTATCAAATATGGGGAGGAGAAGGAGGAAGAAGGGACGGAAGTATCAGTATATCATTCACAATAGAGAGTAAATAAATATCATGTAAATTGATAACTCAGAGAGATCGGGACAATACCTAGACATTATAAATTCACCGCTAAAAGAAATAAAGAACAGAAATAGTTAAAAGAGATTGCCTCTGGGGAGTGGAACTGAGGTGCTGGGTAAAAAACTGGTGCTTTTTATCACAAACTCTTCTAGACTATTTGTTATACTTAGAATTTTAAATTCTTTGAAATATTATTTTCAAACTGCTGTTTAATAGTATATCATATGGATATAAATCTGATTTCTAAACAGCTAACATTTATTGATAATTTACTTTGAACTATCCTAAGCACTTGAAATATATTAATTTTACTAGTTCTCACAGTGACCCTGTGAGGTAGGTAGGGTTCTCATTTTATAGATGCTAAGATGAAACACAGAGAGACTAATTAATTTGCCCACCATCACACAGCCAATAAGTGACAGAGCAAGGATTTGAACTCAGGTGGCCTGCCTTCAGAGCCTACAAGCTTAATACCAATGATGTTCTAGTAGTACAATTTAACCTGTCCCATACCTTAGGACAAGTAGTTTGTTTATAATTTTTTAATTCCTATAAATAAATCTTTGTGTCTCTTAAACTGGGTTAGGTCTCTCAGTTCAATGCTATCATAGTACCTGGTACTTCTCTTTCAGGTCAGTTTACACACATGTAATCATTTGTTTACTGAAATTATTTGTTTAGTGTCTGTCTTCTCCACTAGATTATACACAACTGTGAGGGCTGGAACTGTGTCTGCTTTGTTAGGGTACACACCTTCCTATCTAGCAGGACGTGCTGTACTTAGTAAGTACTCAGTAAAAATTCCTGTTCTAACTGACTGACCCTGATTTCCTTAGGATAGATTTATGGAAGTAAAATTACTGGGTCAAAATATGTGAACATTTTAAGACTCAAAATACATATTACCAGATTGTTTCCCTACTCATCACATCAATTTTCCCTCACACCAAAGGTGTATTTAAGTGCCAAATGCATTGAAGCTTTAACAGTAGGGAGTAGTATAACTGTAGAATCTTTGTTATTTTGCTATATAAAAAAATAGCATTTAATATATTATTAATGTATCATTAAATAATATCATTAAAATTTCTATATTTCATCTAATTAAAATAAAATTAAAATTTGCTTCTTCAAAATCTGTAAAGTGAATCTTTCCTCCCCCATTTCTTTATTAGTTATTTGTACCTCCTCTTCTATAAACTGTTTGTATCCTTTGCCCATTTGATAGAATCGAGCAGTATTTTAGAAATTTAAGTGTTTAAAACATTTCTGTAGTCCACCTCTGAAGAATTTACAAATAATCTTAAAGACCCATTTTATAAGAGTTTTATGCAGAAATACAGAGACTGCTTACCTGAAAGATTTTCAGTGCTTTTACAAGTCCTCCAACTTCATTCTTTAAGGAAAAAATGAGAGTTGCTCTTCCCTTTTCTAAGGAATGATCTTTGTTTTCCTTATTGTCTTCAATCATGATGAATTTGGTGTATGTCTCTAAAAATAAAGTATGAAAATAGAAAGTTCTAAAACAAAAAGTTGTACAATATTTGGTAGCATAGATAATATTTGAAACAGACAATATCTGATAACATTAACCAAGTTTTAGTTTCCTCACCTGTAAAACATGGATGTACATATATACTTTGCAAAACTGTAATGAGACCACAATAAGCTAAAACATTGCCTAGCATAGTGCCTAGAATATAAAAGGCATACAATACATGTTAGTAATTTTCTTTTTTTCCTAATCCAATCCTTTCAGGCCATGACTCAAGCCCATGGGTTTCTTGCAGTCTTCCTGACTGTTGTGGCCTGAACTGGGCACTCTTTCTCTATGAAAGCCTACCTCCTCTCCCCTTACAATTTTAGCACTTTATTGTACTGGGTTTTATTGTAGTTTCAGATGTACAACATAGTGATTCAATATTTTTATAGATTATATTCCATTTAAAGTTATTATAAAATATTGGCTATATTCCCTGTGCTGTACAATATAATCCTTGTAGCTTATCCATTTTACACATAGTAATTTGTACCTCTTAATCTCCTACCCTTATTTTGCCCCTTCATCCTCCTCTCTCCCCACTGGTAACCACCAGTTTGTTTTCTATATCTGTAAGTCTGGTTCTTCTTGTTATATTCTTTCACTTGTTTCATTTTTTAGATTCCACATATAAGTGATAACATATAGCATTTGTCTTTCTCTGTCTGACTTATTTCACTAAGCATAATACCCTCTGGGTCCATCCATGTTGTTACAAATGGCAGAATTTCATTCTTTTTTTCATTAATTTTTATGGCTGTGTGATGTTCCATTGTGTGTGTGTGTATATATGTATGCATATATATGCATGTATACATACATACCACATTTTCTTTATCCATTCATCTGTTGATGGACACTTAGGTTGCTTCCATAACTTGGCTATTAAAAATAATATGAACATTGGGATCCATGTATTTTTTGAATTAGTGTTTTCACTTTCTTTGGGTATAAACCCAAGAGGAATTTCTGGATCGTATGGTAAGTCTATTTTTAGTTTTTTGAGGAACATCCATACCGCTTTCCATAGTGGCTGCACCACTTTACATTCCCACCAACAGTGCAGAAGGGTTACCTTTTCTCCACATCCTTGCCATTTGTTCATTGTGTTTACACTGGGTCTTGAATGGCTTCCTCAGATGTGTCACTCATATATATGACATGTCTTCTAACAAGACAGCAAGCATCTTCAGAACAGGGACAAGGCCTCCTATTCATTTGTAAATTTAAGAGCCTGGACAGCTCTGGACACAGGTGGACTAGAAGAATAGCTGGTAGCCCAGAGAATTCTGGTTCCATATAAGTATCTACTTTCTCTCTGACTGTGGAATCCCCTAGGCCATTGGCCCTGAAGTCTTTTTAGTATTGGCCTACAAGTGCCAAGTGTGTGTGTGTGTGTGTGTGTGTGTGTTGGGGGAAGTGAGGATTTTTTTTCTTTTAATTATGTATTTATTTTTTTATTGGAGTATAATTGCTTTACAATGTTGTGTTAGTTTCTGCTGTACAGTGAAGTGAATCAGCTATATGTATACATCTGTCCCCTCCCTCTTGGACCTCCCTCCCCGCCCCCATCCCATCCATCTAGGTCATCCCAGAGCACTGAGCTGAGCTCCCTGTGCTATACAGCAGGTTCCCACTAGCTAGCTATTTTACATGTGGTATTGTATTTATGTCAAACCTAATCTCCCAGTTCATCCCACCCTCTCCTTCCCCCCATGACCACACGTCCGTTCTCTATGTCTGCATTTCTATTCCTGCCCTGCAAATAGATTCAACTGTACCATTTTTCTAGATTCCACATATATGCATTAATATATGATACTTGTTTTTCTCTTTCTGACTTACTTCACTCTATATGACAGACTCTAGGTCCATCCACATCTCTACAAATGACCCATTTTGTTCCTCTTTATGGCTGGGTAATATTCCATTATACATATGTATCACATCTTCTTTATAGGGGAGGTGAGGATATTGTGGGGGATAGATGTAAGGTACGGTAACTTTGTACTGGTGACTCTCAGTTGAGAAATAGACACTTGAGAAGTAAGATTTGGATTAATAAATGGAAACAGCATATTGAAGATTTATGGTTATTAGTTTTCTTTGGGTTATTAATTCTCCCTAATTGCCCAGTTTCATGTTGTTGTTCTAGTGGAGTTAACCTTTAACAACTTAAATTGACATAACCGATCTCACTGCCTTTTACCTGCTCTCATGCGTTGATCCAAGCCTGTAGAGCAGGTATAGTAGGATGGCGAGGGCTTGAAGCCAGATAGACTGTGTTCCAGTCCCCCGCAGTTCAAATTTCCCTTACTCAAGGAAGCCTTCCCTGACCCTCCGAAGTCAACCCCTAGTGTTGGTTCTCATGGCACCAGATACTTCCCATTGATAACAACAGTCGCAGGTGCAGCTGTAGCTCTGTATATGGTTGTGTCTGTCTCTTCAACTAGCCTGTGTGCTCTGTGGGGGCAGAGATCACGTATGCTTTTATGCACCATTGTGAGTACCTAACACAGTCTCTGCACGTAACAGGGACTGGATAGATGTCACTGAATGAATAAATGGAGGAAAGATTTGATTACAGACATGGTCCCTACCCTCAGGGAACTAAAAGTCTCATAGAAAGAGAATGAAGGATAAGCACTGTAACAGGAACACAGATGGTGGCGTGATGGCAGTGGCTAGATTAATTATTCTGGTACGTGTTCAGAGGTGCTTCACTGAAGATGTGTTTGAATTAGGTCTTAAGGAAAAAAGAGGAAAGAGTCCATGAGGAGCTGAAAGACAAAGGATGAGGAGGTGACTAACCACAGATCAATGAGGGACCATGTAGGCAAGGTAAGTGGGGCCAGATCCTTCAAAAGGCTCTGCAGTTAATGCAGAGGAGTTTGGACTTGATCTTCTATGCACATCCAAATACCCATCTCAGGACCCTGGCAAGTCTGATCAAAGGCTAAATGAGAAAAGTTAGGACAAGGTAGTTTTCCATTAAGCTAAATTCCTGGCTTTGAAATGCTTTTCTGTAGGATGATCAAAATGAGGAGCTTCATGAATTTCTATCCTTCTGACCGGAGAACTATTGTGAGTTTTCTCTTTCTGCCATAAAGCCTTTTTCTTAACGCATACTGTATAACATTTGGGGTACCTTATAAGAGGCATCCCCAAGAGCCCTATCTGGCTTGATAGTGGGTATAAAGTACCAAATATGGCTCAGTAATTTTCAACTGTATGGTAATAAACAATAGTCTGCTACTAATCTGCCAATGGAATACAATTTTCTGTTTCAGAATTCGGTCTTTCTGATAGCTTTGGAATTTAGTTTAACAAATATTTTTCAGGCACATACTAAGTTGAAGGACTTCTACATATAAGTTCAGAGAGTATGGAGATAAGAAAGAAATTCCCACTCTATGATAACAAGATTCCATCCATTCTTAGCAACCCAAGAGGTGGGTAAGGGAACTGATATTTGTCAAATGTCTATATATATCATGCACTAATATTATCCCATATAATTCTCATAAAATCTTCGTGGAGGGGGATAGGAATTATACTCATTTTATAAATGAGAAAACTGAAGCTCAGAGAAACTAACTAACCTGTCCATGGTGACACAGCTAGAGAATGTAAGAACACATATTTAAAACTGTGTCCTTCGGGGGTCGGGGAAGGGTAAACTGGGATGAAGTGAGAGAGTAGCATTGACATATATACACTACCAAACGTAAAATAGATAGCTAGTGGGAAGCAGCAGCATAGCACAGAGAGATCAGCTCACTGCTTTGCGACGACCTAGAGGGGTGGGATAGGGACAGTGGGAGGGAGGCTTAAGAGGAAGGGGATTTGGGGACATATGTATGCATATGGCTGATTCACTTTGTTGTACAACAGAAAATAACACAGAATTGTGAAGCAATTATACTCCAGTAAAGATGTATTAAAAAAATAAAAAATAAATAAAAAAATAAAACTGTGTCCTTGGAAGTATGAATGTTAACATATGGATCTAATTTCACAAGAATTACCCTAAAAATGTTCAGAAAGGCAGAAAGTAGAACAAAATTCCTGGGATCTAGTTGAAAGCTGACTTCTCAGATGAACTAGATATCTACTTTGGCATCTCTCAACCACTTATTTACACTGCAAAACAGTGTAAGGAAATATCTAATCACTGTCATAACATTTGTCAGTGTATGACCTTGGGCACACTACCTAACTTTTTTAATACAGCAAAGTAACCAAACAGTTAACCGAAACTCATGGCATCCAAAAACTCCCTTATACATTTTTTTTTTTTTTTGGCGGTATGTGGGCCTCTCACTGTTGTGGCCTCTCCCATTGCAGAGCACAGGCTCCAGACATGCAGGCTCAACAGCCATGGCTCACGGGCCCAGCCGCTCCGCGGAATGTGGGATCTTCCCGGACCCGGGCACGAACCCGTGTCCCCTGCATCGGCAGGTGGACTCTCAACCACTGCGCCACCAGGGAAGCCCCCTTATACATTTTAAAACACAGAATGTGACTTGGTATTCTGGTGTTTTCCCCACAGAGGAAACTAGGCTATTTCAGGCACCAAGAAGAGACTGAGATATATAATTCAAAATTTAACAAATACTTATTGATTCATTGAGTTTAAAATCAAAACTGCTTAGATATTTCTAATTGTGTCAATTTATTCTCTACAACTAAAACAATCTCTATGTCAAATGCTTTAAAACCAAATGACTAGTTAAAACTTAATAATAATGTGGATTTTTCTGTGATTCAAATGATTACTAATGGTAAAACAAATGAAACTTCAACCCAAGCACATTTACATACCATAGTCAGTGTTAGGGCAGTAAAGATTAAAAAACAAAGAAGACTGTTTGCCTCCAAGGAATTCACAGATTTATTATGAGGGAAGGAGAGGAGGAGAGGCTGACTTT